TTTTGTTATCCAATCGCTACCAGATTTCTTAGAGGTATGAAAACTCTGCCATGATTTTCGCAGTTCCTTTTGGGTACTACATTCATCGAACACCTAAAACGCCTATCCGATTTTGCAAAATGTCGGATGCATGGCGCATTCTAGATGCTCCGAAAAACAACTCATTTGTTTCGATAACACATTCCTTGACCATGGAAAATTTCTCTGGCGAGTGGTACGAGCGTTCACTCCCTTTCTTTAATAATTACGCCTACATATGGGGGGATTTAGTGTTTCGAAGTGTCCAGGGCAGAGTCCGGCGCAGTTCGCGACTAGTGAAGCAACGGAAGTGCAAAATGCCCCCTCCCCCCTCCCGTTGCCGTATTGCACCACAGATTCCTGCCGCCTTGAGGGAAACTTTTTTGCAAAGTATGCCCCCACCGCTCCAAATCCCCTCTGATCCGACCGTAACTTTGGAACCGTCTTCTACATAAGTTATCTGGATGGATACTGGTTTCAGGACGGGATGATAATGAAATAATGTTTGCTCATAAGTTGCAGGACCCCGTTCATAGTTTAAGGGTTGCAAATCTAACTATGTGTTGTTCAGGTCTGGAGCGGAGGCAACTGATGAGCGACTTCAGGAGCGACTATGGGCGTATTCAGCTGAGCTTGCTAAAGGCTACATCTAGAAGAGTTGACAGCTGCATTCACAGCGATTCGCCGTCGTCGTCAGCCATCCGGTCGCATTTCATTTCCTTGTTCTTCTTCTCCTCCTCCTCCTATTCCTCCTCCTCGTTTGACTATATATGTCCAACTCTATGACAGGTGTTACCTATATGTGTGTATCATACTCAAATCAGTCTAGTACTCTGTACATAGTGTACATTTTGCTAGTGCATTCCTTCTCCCTTTCTCAAGCCCGATGTTGATGATGAAAATTCTTTTCGTAAAAGAATAGCTCTGAAAAACCTGGTTGGTCGCGCCGCGCATTCTACTCTAAGATCTTCCTCGAAACGACTTACGCTCTCCTTCTATCTCTCTGCTCTTCACATGGTTCTCTAGTCGTGCTTTTAAGTTGATCGCTAGCTTTATCGATTTACTGATTTCCTTCTTCGTTACTCTTACCTACGAGGACATAGTCTTCTTACGACGTGTATTGCAGCTTGTACATATATACGTTTAATAAACAACTTATTTCTTCGATTGTTGGGCTCCTGTTACTTTGAGATTTTTGGCAGTTCTGGGTGTCGGTTTGTTATGAAAAAATGGTTGAATACCTTACGGGCTCTTAATGAGTGGGGCAGGATCCCCCGAATGCCGAGCGTTTTCAGCACGACTTTGTCTTTGAGGGAAAGAGTAAAACGGGTAAAAATGGACTGAGCGAGATGCCACAACATACAAGATCTTTCAAAATACCCAAAATACCACTTAGCTTATCAGGTTCCTTATGAATGGAATTCTTTAGGTGAACCATTTGTCGCATTTCGTCATCAGTCGCCAACTGCGCCCACTTCTTCAGCAGAACGAGCCTTCCAGAATCATCTTTGTCTCGAGTATCTGTTATGATTGGTAAGCTGTCAGTTTCTGTTAGTAATAACTAAGTTTTATGGAGTCATTCAATTTGTAATGGAAAACATCCGTCTCGGAGTTCCCAGTTGAATGTGTTTTGCCTATACAATGGTTTGCGAGTGTTCGTTGTTGAGTTCATAAGCCAATTTTTGTCCTCCCAGAATAAAGCAGCTCAAGACTCCGCCGATCTGGGATTTGGTAGAGAGATTAGGTACTGGATGTCATCGTCGGACCCAATCTCTCCCAGATCAACAGGGAAGCGGCGTTGTCATAACTCCATTTCTACCATGCACTTGAGAATAGTCATTGGTATTAACCAGCCAGAAAACAACATCCACGTGCTGTGGGTTGCAAGCACATTTATCTCCCAACCCAGACCCTCTGTTAAAGGCACTTCCCCTGATGGCACACCTAGGTAGGAGATTCCAAAAACAGAAATGGGTTATGCTAGTTTACTTACTAATCAAGAAAGAAAGCACTAAACCCGCTCGCTATAAGACGCTCTGCTTTGCTTCTTGGTCATGATCACCGGGCGAGCGTAGGATGGCCAAGATCAATTGTTATTGGAAAAGGCGACGATACACTGACAAAACAGGGGAGAGACCAGAAATTGACGGGCGAGAGAGCACACCGGCAATATTACGACGACACGGGCAATGTAGGCCGGCATGGGCCTCCTTGGGCCTAAAACCTGAGCTTTCTGCGTTTTCCTGCCAATTTCCAAGTTTGAGTGTAGGGCAACCTCTGTAATCGCGTAACGGATCGCATTGCACATTTAAGAGGTTCTAGCCTCAGTTTATGGTGGACCGTGCCTTTAGGACCCAACAAGTAGAATAAACTGTGTCAACTAGGAGGGCTCCCTGGACACTCCTAGCTGATTCGGTTGGAGCCCCTTGATTCAGCAGATTTGGTTATGATCGGGTGCATTATTTCTGTATCTCCAGATACTCCCATCGCAGCTAACTTTGCACAGCTATTCTCTTCATTCCCCCTAACTTCGTTGATGTGTTCCTGCTCACTGAATGATATTCCCTCAAGTGCGAAAGCTCTGAGAAAATACAAGCAAGTGAATTTAGTTACTCGAAGCAGAGCACTTTATTGCGAGGGTTGAATGTTGGTGTCACTATACCCCTCTCCCCTTAGAGGTTTTCAGTAGGACCCCTCCCACCATAGCACACTGCTACCCACCGACTAAAAAATCTTTCTTATTTCTCACCTACTCCTCTGGTGGGAGAGGCGCGCGTGAAACAAAAAAAATGCAGAAATCGGGAAATTTCTCTGGAGACGAAATACGGACCCCCGAAGCAACCTGGTATGATCCATGGAGAGTTTTTCACAATGAAGAATGCTGTACACTGATTCGAAGGCATAGACACATAAGGAGGGCAAACACTGGACAGAGCCGCTACCCCCCCCCCTCCTCCTTCCGCGCACGCCTCCCCAACTTGCCTTCTTCATTGGTGCTTCCCCTCCTCGCCGTAATACGACAAGGTCACACCAGTGAGGAAGGCACAATGGCACACTCATTTCCGTACATAAGATGAGCGTAGGTTATGCTTTCGAGACAGTCCTCCCACTATGCTTTCGAGTCAGTCCTTCCATTTTTTAAGGTGACACGTTGGTAATATTTGCAGAGTTCTTTGCCAGAGGTTCTGAAAACCATCATATATTTAGCACAAAATACATTGAATACTCGCAATCAGTAACTTTCCTTATACTGGTGAAAGGACAACTGGATTTATACATGTTCTCCATTTGCTGTTGGTCTCTTACTCTCCCACCATAAGACGCTTTTCCGCGGATTTGTAGCTTCAAAATTATGTTCATCATGTCATTGCTTTATATTCATGACTGGAGTAATCGACATTTTTAGGTACCCTCTTGACTTCTCCGATCTCCAAGCAACCAAATATGGCGACGCCTATCTGCAGTACTCGCGTAGTAAACTGATGAACCATATGACTGCGTTCAGAATGGCTCGCGAAAGAGACGATGGGGTAACGGTCAATGTATTGGAGCCGGGAGTCTGCGAAACGAAGCTTCTTAAGTGGGTTCAGTACATTTTGAGTTTTCCGAAGCCCAGCAGTAAGCATGCAGCGTGGGGGCGTGTCATAGGGCTGGGTTTCCCCGGCGCTAGCACGTTGTCGATTCACAAAGTGTCGAAGCGGACAAGCAACAGTTGGTGAAAAACGGGCTGACGCCGCGCGAAAACCAGCCACACACGCTTCAGCGTCCCCACCGAACAGGACTGCACATTCCTTCAACGTAAGCTCACCTCTTCCTACTATTCCAACCTAAATTTCTTACAGGCGAGGTGGCTATTCCGGCGGACCTGTGAAAGACGGAAGTGTTGCCCCCGTTTATCTTACGATGTCTGACGAGGTGACAAACATCACCGGTGTCTACTTTAACAACCGTGGAAAGGTATCGCTACATGGGTAGCGCTAAATGTTAGGCAGAAAATCAGTGACTTATCTCAGAGAATCTCTTCATTGAGTGCGGACTCGACGGACGTGAATCAGCAGGACCGTCTATGGAAGATGAGCGAGGAGATCTGCGCAAAATTTGGGATCACATTCTAAACGCTTCATACCTCGTATTCGTTGTCAAGATCGACTGGTTGTAGCACGATACAGTTTTTACTTAAAAAATGCTATTCTATTCGCTCACGGACTATAAATGACTATTCTCCAAAAAAACACTAAAAATAAATGTAAAAATTCTCAGGATTATTGTATCTCTCCAAAAAACTGTTATTGTCCTAGAAATTAAAGTACGGTCCATCTTCACCGTAAATAAACGCAAGTCGAAGGAATAGGGAATTGCGAAAGGACATGTATCAGAATGTATCAAAAATCCCAGTACGGGTGAGAAGGGCAGACTCTTTGGGTAAGTTGGGATGAAAAGAACTCTCATCAGCTTCTTGCGCATTAACTTATTACCTAGTATGATATGAGTTCAGAAGATTTTGAGCCTTCAAAAGGGAGTCACGTCACTAGCGCTACTCGAAGGTATTGATTTCTTACCGGTTTCTTAAGCAGCGTTCATACTTCGCGACAGCAGTGGCGATCGCCGCGATCGTCGGATCGCGTTAGAGCGCGCCCCAACGTTATTACTTGGACCGCTCGCTTTGATAAATATTGAAATCCAATTTGTAATACCCTTTTTCTCTTAATAATGGCTTCCAGCTGGAAACTGAGAAGTTTCTATACCCTAAGGGGATCTGGGATATAAGGGAGCAGGATGGTTTCACCTCTTATTTAGGCCGGCTTTCATCTATGGAATGAAGTGCAACTTCATTTCATAGGTATATT